AAAAAAAAAAAAAAAAAAAAAAAAAAAAAAAAAAAAAGAACTTGCCTTATGTATCTGGGTGTTCCTGTATTGGGTGTGTATATATTTAGGATTGTTAGCTCTTCTTGTTGCATTGATCCCTTTATCATTATGTAATGTCCTTCGATTTATACTTTTAAAAGATCATTCCAGCTAATGTGTGGAGAATCGATTAAGGGGAAGGCAGAGTTGGAAGTGAAGAGCCCAGAAGGGAAGTTACTGCAGCATCCAGATGAGGGAGGTGGCTTGGACTAGAGCATGGTGGTGATGAAACACAGTGGTCACATACTAGCCTTGATTACTAGCCTTGCTCCCCCTCCCCTTGGCAGCATTTGGCCCCTTGTCTATCCTGTCCCCCAGCCCTAATTACAGGCAGAACAGATGTGTTTGTGCCAATGTCCACATCCCCCAGAAGCCCAGGCTTGACTCAGGTCAGCTGAGGCCTGGACATGGCCATGCCAAGGCTCCAAGGACTGAATCAATGAACCAGTGAGGGCAACTCCACTCTGCAGCCTCGTGTCTGAAAGCACAAGGATATTAGTAACTAAAAGGGAGAAATGGGGCAGGAGGAGGAAGCTGGGGCAGATGGTAGTGGTTTTATGAAAGAAGCAAAACTACAGCAGTGGTTACAAGAAATCAGGGCAAAGTGCAGCATCTACTTGGGTGTCCCCATGTAGGCTGAGACCTCACATCTGCCCTGAAAATGGCCCCACAGAGGCAGAGATGGCACTGGGAGATAGTGCCATTAGTGGGTGATGGCAACCTGGAGGGCAAAGCCCTTCTGGAGTGTGAAAATCAGGGTGGAGAAGGAAGTCTTGGGAAAGCAAATCTAGAAAGAATTTGAAATAAGCAGGTAGGAGCTGTGGACCTACACTACCCAGAGGGCTCAGGCTCTGAAATATCTCCGGCCAGCAGGAGAGTTAGGGCTGGGGCCAGGGAAGAGCAAAGCAACTGGGCTAATGGGGTTAAGACACTCTTAGAATAGGCAGGGCGCGGTGACTCATGCCTGTAATCCCAGCACTTCAGGAGGCCGAGGTGGGCGGATCACCTCAGGTCGGGAGTTTGAGACTAGCCTGACCAGCATGGAGAAACTGTCTCTACTAAAAATATAAAATTAGCCAGACACGGAGGCACATGCCTATAATCCCAGCTACTTGGGAGGCTGACGAAGGAGAATCACTTGAACCCGGGAGGCAAAGGTTGCGGTGAGACAATACCGCACAACTGCACTGCAGCCTGGGCAACAAGAGCAAAACTCCATAAAAAAAAAAATAAATAAAAAACTAGGATCGGCTACGGATGCCACCTTTCTTCCAGCCAGGTGACGCAGTCCAGTAAGAAGTAGATGGCAGACAAGGTAGGGTAAGACCTTGAGCTGAGAGTGCTTACCTCCATCCCAACTGTCAATTCCCAAAGGGCCTCTCTCTACCCCTGGGCCAAAGTTCAGGCCTTAGACCCCTCTCCCCAAATTAGGGATCATGAAGCAGCTTCCTTACCCTTCTACAGGTTTTGCCCAAGTCGACTCCTCAGGCAGATCTATGATCTTTCCAGGGTCCCACTGCCCTTGAGACAGAATTCAAGTTCCTGACCTGGCTGCCCAAGTCCACCTTGATCTAGTCTCACCTACATCTCTGCTTCATCAGGCCCATTCAACATGCCTGCCATTTACCAAACCCATGCTGATCTTTGGGCATACTGTCCCTTTTCTCTGAGATGTCCTCATCCCTTAGCTCAGACTCTGGAAAACTAAAATCAACACAGGTCCACCTCCTTCAGTAAGCCTTTCCAGGGCAATCCAGGCCTTGGCCAGCCCTGAGAGCTCCTCTACCAGTTCACCTTGTCTCATGCCCACCTCCCCAGGCCCATGGGCTCCTCTCCCAAACAGCACCAGCTCAGGGCCAGCACTTCAGACCCTCTGCAGCCCATCTCAGTTCTTCCCCTGCTGCCCTGAGCTGGCCGCAGATGACAGAGATGTAGCAATGGGGTCCCTGCCATCAAGGAAAGCCAGTGTGCTAAGGGAGGCAGATACACCCACTAATGCCCACCACACAGGGCAGACTCGGAAGAAAGCCCATATATTTCAGGGCCCAGAGGAAGGAGGAAAGGCCTCCTGGAGAGAGAAGGATCTGAGCCAGGTCTCAAAGGATGTAAGGCAGAGGAGCAGAAAGAGCTTTCTAGGCAGTGAAAGGAGCAGAGGAAGGAAGGAGACCAAGGGCAGTGTCCGGCAGAGTAGGGCTTCGTGTAGGTGAGAGATGACGGGCAGGGGTGAAGTGCTGGGGACACAAGCCTGCACCCCTCCTGTGGGTGAAGGGCACCAGGGGAAGTTGTGGAGCAGGAGACTGGCATGGCTGGAGCCTGGGTCTGCACGGTCAAGCCAGCCCTGCTCTCAATAGGCTCCAGGCCCCAGCACCCTCACGATGACACCCAGAAAGCACACAGACAAGGAGCTGTTTCTTGACTGTTAATTGGGTCTTGGCCCATGTCATATGGTGGAGGGACCAGGATGAAGAGAGGGAACCAGGGCAGGGAGCGAGGTCCAGACTCGGGGGATCTGTGCTTCTTGCAGGGGGTTGGGGGAGAGGACACAGAAGCCTCTGCCCCATGCTGGATACTTCCTTGCTGTGGCAGCAGGGCAGCTGTGCCCTGGCTAGGCTGGGCTGCAGAGTGTGAGTCTCAGGTCCTCTGGAGCTGGAGCCATCAGGATGGCTGCTTTTCGGGGGTCATCAGTCGCTCCACCTCGCGCATGAACCTCAGACACAACTCTTCCTGCCAGGGCAGGGCCACACACTGCACAGCCACAGGCAGCCCCACGCTCTTCTTCATGGCCTACAAGGGGACACAGGTATCAGGACAGGGTTAGCGAGGCAGGACTCCCCACCAAGCCCAGGCCTCTCTCCAGCATCCCAGCTGGAAAAGCAGGGCCAGGCCACAGTCTTTCAGGTCTTGCTTAAGAAAGGCTGGCACACCCACAGTGCTGGTACTGTTTCCTCCACAGCGGCCAGAGTCAGGGTGGGGAGTGAGTTCAGGTGAGGGGCAGCCCAGACCTTACCTTCTGCAGCACCTTGTCCCAGATGTCCCCAAAGTAGCCCCTGCAATGTTCCATCTGGGCTTCGTCCTCAGCAGTCACCGTGGTGACAGGCACCACCCCCGCAGGGAAGTCCAGGCAGTTATAGAGCAGGGTGTAGCTGACGGCTCCTGGAATATATCACAGGCGGCTGCAGCAGGCCCTGAGAACCTTCAGGGCCGACTGCGGGCCTGAGGCAGTAGCCTGTGTCTATAGCCAGAGAAAGGCTCTCTCCCAGAACTGACGTCTGAGTGACAAAGCCCACGACTTCAGATTTCAGGGCTGGGCTGTACATCTCACTGATGCTTGCCCCATGCCTTTGCTCATGTACTTTCCCCACTGGGAATGTTGTTCCTGTTTTCTTTTCCTTTTCCTTTTTTTTTTTTTCTTGAGACAGAGTCTCACTCTGCCACCCAGGCTGCAGTGCAGTGGTGTGATCATAACTCACAGCAGCCTCAACCTCCTGGGCTCCAGCAAGCCTCCCGCCTCAGCTCCCCGAGGAGTCAGGACTAAAGGAACATGCAACCACATCTGGCTAGTTTTTCTATTTTTTTGTGGTAACGGGGCCTCTCTATGTTGCCCACACTGGTCTTGAGTTCCTGGGCTCAAGTGATCCTCCAGCCTCAGCCTCCCAAAGTGCAGGGATTATAGGTGTGACCCACCACCCTATTTTCTTAATTTATCTAAATCCCACCTGGACTTCAAACCACCACCTCCCCAGACGAGACTCTAACTCAAGGTCCCCAACTTGAACAGTGCTGATGACAGGAATATCAATCCTGGCCAGAGCATCCCACATAACTCTCATGTCTCCGGCCAGCCAGACTGTGGGCCCTGCAGGGGCAGGGTCCTCCCTGAGGGCTCCTCTTCTTCCAATACCTAGCAGCCCTGCAGGGCATATGGTCAGATTCATAGAAAGGACAGACAGGGGGCTGGGCGCGATGGCTCACACCTGTAATCCCAGCACTTTGGGAGGCCGGGGTAGGTGGATCATCTGAGGTCAGGGGTTCGAGACCAACCTGACCAACATAGAGAAACCCTGTCTCTAATAAAAATATAAAATTAGCTGGTTGTGGTAGTGGGTGCCTGTAATCCCAGCTTCTGGGGAGGCTGAGGCAGGAGAATCGCTTGAACCAGATGCAGAGGTTGCAGTGAACCAAGATCACGTCATTGCTCTCCAGCCTGGGTGACAGATCAAAACTTCATCTCAAAAAAACAAAAAAAAAAAGAAGGGACAGGCAGTGTGTCTGGTCTCACCTGTGGCCCTGCCTGGGGCATTCAAGTCCAGAGCAGGGCCCAGCATGGGAGTCAGCAGCACATCCAGGTCCAGCGCCTTCCACTGGGCAATCACGGTGTTGCGGTACACCTGGGGGACACAGCACACCGGGTGAAGCACTCAGACTCAGCCCGCCCCAGGCTCTCTAACTCAGGGACTGTGGCTGGGGTGGCTCTGGCCCCAGTACTTAGCCCTGGATCTGAACTGGGCCATAATGGGACACAGGTCCTCCGGGCAGGCAGCAGTGCTGCCTCTCAGAGGGCATCAGTCGTTCTGCTTTCCAAATGAATTGTGGACATGTCTCTTCCTGCCGGGGCAGAGCCACACACAGGCAGCTCCACAGGGTAGAAAAGGCAGCCCGGACAGGAGCCTTGGGTTGACCCAGCCCCAAAGGATGAGCATCTGGGCAAGTAAGGGTCAGAGAGCAGGTCCCAGGTAGTGGTCCAGGGAGTGGAAGGGGGTTGACAGGCCAGTCTAGGATCCCCGTGGGGGCACTGGCCACAAGACCCTGGTAGCAAGTGCCCTGTCCAACTCCATCCTCCCACCACCACCCTGCTCCAGTCCAAAGGCTCTGGCCTCACCTCTATCTCGTGCTGCAGTTCCCAGAGTTTTCCAGCTGACCTGGGCAGAAGGAGTGAGATCACCAGCCATGATGGTCACAGCCATAGAGATCAGCAACATCAGACCCCTACTGCCAGCCTCCCAGCTCTCACTCCTCCAAGGACCCTTCACAACCCCACAGGAGCTCTGAGAGGGACATTCAAATACCTACTGTCTGGATGAGAAAATCAAGCCCTAGAGGGGCACAGGCTGGGTCACTTAGTGACTCCACAGCAGAGCCAGGACTAGCCCAGGCCTGACTGCTCGCTACCCTCAGGACACAGGACAGGCCATAGCTGCCGCCGGCCCTGAAGCCTTGTGGTAAGGGAAGGAGTGAGTCTAGGAACATCAGGTCCTGAAACGGTGGGTGGGGGGTTCCAGCCCAAGTCACTAAGGGGCAGGTGCACCTGGCGCAGCTCAGATCAGCTCAGGTCTCTAGCAGCAGTGTCTCCCCGGGTATCCCGCCCTGGCCCAGGCCAACCCCCTACTTCCTGGTCCTTTCCATCCACACCCCAGCCAGGTCAGCCTCCTCCTCTCCAACTACCCTATCCTCTTGTCCCCTCAGGCCTTTGCTCTCCAGCCAGACCTGGACCTGGCCAAAACAACTTCAAAGTCCCACTTGAAAGTCACGAAGGTTGCCCCCCTGCCTGGGCCACTTCCAGCCTCAGAGGTTACTTCCCTCGAGTCCTCTCCTGTCAGAAACTACCCAGACCCGGACTCGGATCAGGACAGGCAGGGGCAGGCAGCTGGGCGCGGAGGAGCCCTCACCGAGGCTTCATGCTGCTGAGGAAGGCCGACAGCCTTGGGAGCTGCACGGGACAGACACAGGGCTGGTGACTCCCCTCAGCCATGGCAGGCGCCAACCTTCCTCAGGCCAAGCCACTGGGGACCCTCCCTTCATGCCTCCCCCTGGGGCCCAGATCGGCACCCCTTTTAGCATGCACATTGGCTGAAAATTGCAGAGGACAGGGGAGGAGGGCAGTCTGGGTGGGGGCTGGAGGAAAGAGGAGGCCATGTATGCCCAAACCAAGAGAGGCTGAGGGAAGCCAGGGGGACGGGATAGGAGGCCCCATGCTCCCCACCAGCCGTCCTAGCCCCTCCACTCCTTGTGCCCTCACCAGCGGCTTCACCAGGAAGGCCAGCAGTCCTTTAAGCCAGTTGGGAAGCTTCAGAGTTAAGACCAGGTCCCCCAGGCAGGGGTCCACAAAATCACCTTTGCTGGGAAACAAAAGGCGGAGTCCAGGAACTCCCATCCCCACATCCTCCCCAGCCTGCTCGCCCGGCCCACAGAAATGCCATTCTCTACTCAGGGGTCCTGTCCACCTCGTCCTCACCAGACTCAGCTCCCTCCCTCCAAAATGCCGTTTGCTTCTGCTGGTCCTTTGAGAAGCCTGGGCTCCAACCCACACCGACGGGAACTCCCCAAGGCAGGACTCAGGGTCTCCCTCTCCAGCAAACCCAGCGCAGAACTCTAAGAACTGAGGGCAATGTCTCCCTGACAAGGCCACCCTGTGACCACCTCCCCTTTGACAGGGAGGCCAGCCTGGAGGCACAGCTGGGTCAGTCATGGTGGGGGCTGCCCATGGAGCATGGCTCTGAGGCTGTCTCTGGCTCAAGACCTCAGGGAAAGGTCTCAGAGAGCTGATCCTGGAGACTCATTACCAGGGCCAGAGTGAGGAGTGGCCCCTTCCACTGAAGCCTGGACCACACTTGGCTGCTAGGTGAAGGAAAGGAACATGACAGGCTGGGCCTTGACTGAGTGAGGCTGCAGGGCCGAGTTCTCCATAGGTGAAGCGGAGAAAGTGGGACTGTGTTCTGAAGGGCCGCAGCCCATCCAGCGGAGGCATGTCACCAGGAGGCACCTTCACAGGCCTGCCCTCTGCCCCTGACAACCTTTAAGGACTAAAAACAGCCCAGAGGAACCAACTTCTCTAAAAATGAGTTCTGCAAAGTCCCTTAAAGGGAGTCTGGTCCAACCCACCCACTTTACAGGAGAGAAATCTGAGGTCTTGCTCAAAAGGAAGACTTGGCTCAAGTCTGGAGAGCCTGGAGTCACAGCATGAAGTCCGAACACCCACCCTCCTGCCTGGATCCTGCCCTTGCCTCAAATCTTTCCCAGACAGACAGGCAACTGCCTGCCCACCTCCTACCTCACAACAAGCTCAGATCAGAGGCAGGCCATGATACTCAACGCAGCCTCCCCTTAGGCTGGCGCCCTGGCAAGGGATCTCCAGGCTCAATGTGCCCAGGTGGAAGCACAGCGAGGTCCCTGCCCAGAGCGTTAAGGCCTTTGTCAGATTCAGCTAAGGCCCATCCAGCCATCACCGCCACCTGCTGCTCCCACTAGGTCTGATCCCACCAAGACCCCAAAGCCCACTATCACTCACAAGTTCTGTAGGTAGGTTTGGCCACCGTCACTGAAGAGCCCACCTGTTGACAGGGTCTCCAGAGCATAGGGTATGTTGCTTGGCAAGAAGGGCACTAGCTGCAGAAATTGAGGGGTGTAAGCCCTCCTGAACTAACAACTGGCTCCATGACACCCACGCTCTCTGGGTGGCCCTGAGGCTGGATTAGACCAACCTGCCCACATGGTAGCTCTCACTAGAGCCACAAAGGCAGCCTAACTGAGCCAAGAAAACTCACTATAGAGTGCACAGCACAAGAGAAGTCTGGAGCCACACATAAAGTTGTATAAATGACCAGACCAAAACCCACTGGCCCTGGGGACCTCTGGACAGCTGTGCACCCCTGTACCTTTGATCAGCCCTCTAGATACTTGTCCCACTGGGCCATAGATCACCCCCACGACAACACAATCAGAATGCCAGGATGCCAGGGATGGAGTAGCCATGGGTACCAGGAAGGCTTCCCTGGAGGGGAGGAGATGCCAGCACCTGCAGGACCCTGCAGTCATACCGTGTGTCCCGCAGCCTCAAGGCTCTGCTTAGTCTCCAGCACGGCCCGCCTCATGGCCGGGGTGGGCATGGTATAGTTGTCAGTCTCATAGTACCCCACACACAGGGGCCGAGAGCTGGTGTAGACCTGGAGGGAAAACACGGGACAGGGGCAGGTCAGGAGAAGACAGCCCTAGGCAGGACCCCTAGAGATCAAAGGAACTGGCCGGGTGTGGTGGTTCATGCCTGTAATCCCAGCACTTTTGCAGGCTGAGGCAGGCAGATCATGAAGTCAGGAGTTTGAAACCAGCCTGACCAACATGGTGAAACCCCATCTCTATTTAAAAAAGAAAAAGAGAGAAAGAGGGATCAGAGAAATACTCAGCCCCAGACACAGCTGCAGTCAGTAAGGCCAGCCCCTTCTGCATCTGACCCTTTCACAAAACACCTTCACAGTGACTCAGAGGTGGGCAGAGCAAGGATGAGGATTCCTATTGGTCACAGGAGGAGACTGAAGCTTGAGGTCTAGAGAGGGAGATTGGGTGGGACTGGGACTTTCCCAAAGCTACCCAATGCAGACTGTTGGGTAGAACAGGTCTGGAACACAGGCAGGTCTGGAACACAAGCACCCTGCCTTCTAAGCTGAGGCTTTCCACCAACTGTCCTGGCTCTCACGAGAAACTGTTCCAGACTTCCAGATAGGGACCTCATCTCCCCCTCGCCGCTGAGGAAGGACTTCACGGCTGCCTATCCCCGTGGGTTCGGTTAGAATATTTCCATCTGCCTCAGCCCAGATCTGTCCTGCTGCCCGCCTCCCGAGAAACCCCAAGGCCCACTCTCCTTCCTGTCCAGAAACCCTCAGCCTTTCCAAGACAAGCTTGGCTGGGGTGTGTACAGAATAGACAATCGCTGGACTGCTGAGAAATGGGGCTTACATCACGCAGCTTACTGTCTACATTAATGTGACTTCACTCTTCTCCGTCTGCACCGATCTAATTTTAGAGCTCCTAAACACTCTGTTGGAGTGGGCACAGAAGATGACCTAGGACCCAGCATCTGCCTCACTGGGGACATTTGGCTCCAGCCTCAACCTGGCTGTTTCTGGCCTTCAACCGTAACACAGAGAGAGAGAGTACCCCAGGACCAGGGCACAACCAGGACACTCAAGAGAGCAAGATACTGGCCTCAGATGCCCTGCAGCAGGGCATGAACTGGGAGAGAGATGACCACTGGCCACTCCTCCACCTCCTCCAAATAACACACATAAGCACAAATAACCTTCCCATTCATTCTGGAAACACCCATCAACTCTTCAACAGGAAGCATCCGTTGGCAGTTTACACTCCATGACCCTCTGAACTTCTTACCTTAAAATTCACACCCTGCTGTGCCCACCAATCCTTAACTAACATGGAGGGGGTCATATCATGACCCTTACCCAATCCTAACCAACCTCCATGTTGAAAGACCCACCTTAAACCAGACTTCAAAATCTCAGCAAATCTCCCCATTCTGCCTGCCCTCTGAGATGCTACTAAGGCTCTGCAAGGCAGTGCTCCCTCGCCAGAGAAAGCAACAAGCCCAGCCTGTCTCAGCATCAGACTGTTGCAGTGATTTTTTTTTTTTTTTTTTTTTTTTTTTTTTGAGGCTGAGTCTCACTCTGTTACCCAGGCTGGAGTGCAATGACGAGATCTCGGCTTACCGAAATCTCCACCTCTAGGGTTCAAGCAATTCTTCTGCCTCAGCCTCCGGAGTAGCTGGGATTACAAGCGTGCTCCACCATGCCCAGCTAATTTTCGTATTTCTAATAGAGACGGGGTTTTACCATTTTGGTCAGGCTGGTCTCGAACTCCTGACCTCGTGATCCACCCGCCTCGGCCTCCCAAAGTGCTGGGACTACAGGCGTTAGCCACTGTGCCCCACTGTTGCAGGGATAATTGAAGGAGCAGCACTCCACGCTGCCTGCAGACTCTAGCTCACACAGCCTACATCTGGCAAGAACAAGCTGCTTGAGCTGGGGTCTGCAGGCAGCGTGGCATGCCGCTCCCCAAAATGTGGACAGGAATACTGTTAGAAAGACTGCTGTTTGCTGAAGGTCAGCGGCCTGGGAAGTGATTCCTGCATCCCTGGTGCCAGCAGCAGAGGCCAGGCACCTTGGAAAGCCTGTGGGTTAAATGCAGGCAACGGCTCCATCTGGTGGCGGTCTGTGGAGAGGCAGCCCACCCTAGCCTCAGAGCCCTGGGGGACGTTTCTCAGGAGACAGGGCCTCCAAGGCCTGCCCACAGGCCTGGGGCGGCTGTGTGGGTTCAGAAGTCCACACCCATGCCCACCCAGCCCTGCTCACCTCTTCTCGGAAGGGCAGGGGAGGCACGGTGGGGTCCAAGCGGAACATGTCCTCACACAGCAGGGCTCGCAGGCACAGTGCCAGGCTCTCCACGTCCCGGGCCATGGGGCCCACAGAGAGGCGCACTGGGGCAGAGACGGGAGGGAGGTGAGCAGACAAGGAGGGAGGAACACAGATCCAGAGCAGCCTGGGAGCCAGACGCTGCCCTGCCACCTAAGAAGCCCCTGAGGGCAGAAGCAGGTCAGTCCGACCCCCCACCCCCCTGGGGCACTGAGGGCACCACAGACCTCACCTGCCTCCTGTCCATAGACACAGCCCTTCAGGCCACTCTTGCTGGATGAGAAACACAAGATGCTGAGAACAGGAAATAGCCACCCGCCGCCATTCCCATGCCCGCAGAGCAGCTCTGAACACTCACCACTTTGGAAACTAGGACCCACGCCTGGCCAGTGGGACTCTAATGCTTCCTCCCAGCAAAGCCCCGGTGACCGAATCCCCGCCTGGAGCCCAGAGAGGTTGGAAGCCAGGCCAAGGTCACACAGCCCAGGTGCGCCCTCCACCCACCCTACCTGAGGCGATTCCCTGTGGGCTTGAGGCCGCAAATGCCACAGAAGGAGGAGGGGAAGCGGATGCTGCCTCCGATATCAGTGCCTAAGCCCAGGGGGGAGCCTCCAGCCCCGATGAGGGCCCCTTCACCCCCTGAGGAGCCCCCTGGGCTTTTGGAGGACTTCCATGGGTTCACGGTCTGGCCGAAGAGGGGGTTACTGCAGTCGTAGCTGGAGGAGGCAAGAATGGATCAGCCTGTATCACGCTGGCATCGGTGCCCCTGCCCCGCCCCACCCAGAGACCCAACCTGAACATGGACTGGGGGACATTGGTGTGCACGAAGGGCACGGCGCCCTGCAGCTTCAGCACACGGACCACCACGCTGTCACACTCTGCCGGCACCCCTTCATTCAGGCTCAAGCCCAGCGTGGAGTCCTGGCCCTGGGAGGAGGGATGGTGGGCACAAAAAGGGGTATGGCTGATGAGTCAGAGCCCATGGGTAGCCCAGGGTCCACTCCAACAACTGTCACACAGGCCAAGACAGGCACAACAATATCCCCTTGCAAGGCCTCTGGACCTGGGCTCAAAACGACCCAGGACCCACAGCAGGCTGGCAGGGATGGAGGCGCCAGTGGAGGCCTGACACTGAGGCAGAGCATACCTTGTAGGTGAAGCACTCCTTGAGGCTCACAGGAACGCCATAGAGCAGGCCCTGCCTTGGAGCCTGGGACAGCTGAGTCTCACAGTCAGCCAGGTAGGAGGTCACACAGTTGGTCCCTTTGTTCACTTCCCAGGCCTGAGGGAGGGGAAATAGACATAAGGGAAAAGGAGACTGGCCTTTTCAAAAAACTATGGTGAAATATACATCATGTAGAACCAGCCTTTTAAAGTATACCCAGGGAGAGGGTAACCAGCAACATGGGCCAGAGCCTGGGGCACAGAGGATGACCTAGGGCCCGGCACCTGCCTCACTGGGAACATTTGGCCCAGGCCTCATCCTGGCTGTCTCTGGCCTTTAACCAGGACCAGGGCACAACCAGGACACTCAAGGGAGCAAGATACTGGCCTCAGCAGGGGGTGGGCTGGGAGGAAGATGACCACTGACCACTCCCCCACCTCCTCCAAGCCACATCTCTGCCCAGTGAGGCAGATAAAAACCAGGCAAGGGCAGACCCCCATCTCTGGTCACAGAAGGGCAGCGACAGAGCAGGGCTAGACCAGACTCCTGCCTCTCGGAGCCCAGCACTCTCTCCTCTACCCCACTCCTTTCCCACACCCAGCCCAGTCAAGCCTCCCCTTACCCAAGAACTCTTGAATTTGATAATCAAGTCACACGGAGTAGGAGCTTGACTAAAGGGAATAACATGCTAATAATGGAAATCTGCCTAGAGCACTCAAGCCGCACCATGCAGGGTCCTACAGAGGGAAAGGCGAGAGCAGAGCGAGATGCAGCTTTCTGAAAACACTCCTATCCTGGGGGGCACCGGAGGGAAACAGGGTGGGCTCTGTGGCCATACTTAGGCATATGCAAAATCTGTCCCTAGGGCACCCGAGGCAGGAAGGGAGAAAGGCCAATCTATAACCAGATTGACTAGGTTAACCAGGAAGGGCAGGAGCCTTTTTAGGGACATTGACGGGGGAAAAAGCAACACCGTCTGCTGAGAATGTCTATGTGCCCCTCTCGGTGACGCCAGCCCAGCATGCTCTCGCTCCCACAGCTGCAGCCTTGACGGCATTGTCACATAAACCACACCCAGACAAGTTCACCTGCCTAGGGGTCACATTCTCTGTCACATGCCCTTTCAAGAAATCATGCAGGCCACACTCACAAAGCACAATTTCTCAATTTCTCTCTCCTTCCTTCTTTCCTCCCTCCCTCCCTTTCTTTTCAAACATATTTCTTGAGCACTTATTATGTGAAATGCAACACTTAGTGTCTTTGAGCACTAAGCTTCAAAGACAAATAAGATAAGCCCTGTCCATGAAGGACACATGGGAAAGAGAAGACAAGCCTGACACTGTGATGAAAAATGTGCTGTTAGAATGAGAGTAGGCCCCGAAGAGGAAATCCTACCTCGGGCTGGAAAGGGAAGACGGTGTCTCCTGCTCTGAGCCCAGAAAGCTCAGTCAAGGGAGTCTGTGGCATGGAGAGGGACAAAGAGGGAAAGAGCCTTTCAGGTAAAGGAGCCCCACCCAAGCCAGTGCAGAGTTTGGGTGGGACACTCCAAGCTCCAGAAGGCCTTGGCCAGAGGTGATGCCGGACACAGAGGAGAAGTTCCAGAGACAGCCTGAAGAGCTAGGGACACAAGAAGGCACCTGGCCAGGAGCTGGTGCTTGGGCATGGAGGGAGATGGTGGTGGTGGGCCAGAGTGGCCAAAGGTGATGGAGACAGGGGAGGGCTGGGTAAAAGAAGGGAATAGGCCAGGCACAGTGGCTCACACCTGTAATCCCAGCACTTTCGAAGGCTGAGGTGGGTTGATCACCTGAGGTCAAGAGTTCCAGACCAGCCTGGCCAACGTGGCAAAACTTCATCTCTACTAAAAAGACAAAAATTAGCCGGCCGTGGTGGCAGGCGCCTGTAAACCCAGCTACACAGAAGGCTGAGGCACGAGAATTCCTTGAACACGGGAGGCGGAGGTTGCAGTGAGCCAAGATCATGCCACTGCGCTCCAGCCTAGGCAACAGAGCAAGACTCTGTCTCAAAAAAGAAAAAAAAAAGGGGGGGGGGGGGGTTGGGCATGGTGGCTCACGCCTATAATCCCAGCACTTCGGGAAGCCAAGATGGGTGGATCACCTGTGGTCAGGAGTTCGAAACCAGCCTGATCATCATGGTGAAACCCCATCTCTACTAAATACAAAAAATTAGCTGGGGTCCAGGCGCTGCGGCTCATAGTCGTAATCCCAACACTTTGGGAGGCCAAGGCAGGTGGATCACTTGAGGTCAGGAGTTCAAGACCAGCCTGGCCAACATGGTGACTCTACTAAAAATACAAAACTTAGCTGGGTGTGGTGCTGGGCGCCTGTAATCCCAGCTACTCAGACTCTCAGGCTGCAGTAAGCCAAGATCTCACCACTGCACTCCAGCCTGGGCAACAGAATGAGACTTCATCTCAAACAAAAAAAAATTTTTTAATTAGCTGGGCATGGTGGCACATGCCTGTAATCCCAACTACTTGGGAGGCAGAGACAGGAGAATCGCTTGAACCCAGGAGGCAGAGGTTGCAGTGAGCCAAGACTGTGCCATTGCACTCCAGCCTGGGCAACAAGAGCTAATCTCTAAAAAAAAGAAGGGAACAGACCAGACTTGTTGACTGAGGGGGATGGAGCAGGGAAAGAGAAGGAAATCTGGGCCAAAAGCCAGGTTACTAGCTAAAACAGCATGCTCAGTGTCTCTCTCTCTCTCTCTCTCTCACACACACACACACACACACACACACACACACACACAGGGAGCTCCCTCCCTCCCTGGCTGTCCCTGGTACTGTGGGTCCCACCATGGCCCCCAGCAGGACTGACTCTCCAGGCCAGCTTTTTCCCACAGCCTGTGCAGAGTCGGGCGGTGGCGGGGGGACGGGAAAGGAAGTGGCTGGCCTTTGCTGGCCTTACCTTTCCCAGGTAGGTGAAGAGCACCACCTCAGGGGACAGCTCTCCATCATGTAACTTCTGCACCAGCTGAGGCAGGGGCAGGGCTAGCAGGGCCTCTGAGTCCAGGTCTGGGTTCTGTGGGGGACAAAGTCGGATCAGTCCCCTACTCCCTGAAGGCTCACGAGCCTGCTGCAGACACCGGTAGCCCATGCCCCTCAGTCTCCACATGCACCCAAGCAGATGCTTACTGTCATACCAAACCAGACATGGCCACCAGCAGCTCCAACATGGCCCAGCCTGGGCAGGCCCATGTCATTCCTAGAAAGTGCAGCTCTGTCTCCTCCACAAGCCTGCTGAAAAGGTGCCCAGCTGACCGACAAGCCCAGGCAGGTTTTTTTCTTTTCCTTAGAGACAGGGTCTGGCTGTGTTGCCCAGGCTACACTTGAACTCCTGGGCTAGCCTGACTAGCTGGGACTACAGGCACACACTATTGTGCTGGGCTCCAGACTGATGATTAAACCACTACAAATAAACACCAGCAGCAGCTGCCTTCTGTGTGCCAAGCACCACGCTGATGTCATCCATGTTTTGATTCAATCTTACTGCCATTCTTGCCCGCTGGCCATCTGCCTGCACCTGACCCCATGCCATCCCCATGCCCACAGAGCAACTCTGAACACTGCCGGGGCGTTGCCAACCCCTGGGCAGGGAGGGGCAAAAACAAGAAGACCCCATCTTGCGGGAGGCTTGGTCTGTGACTGAAGGCCACACCCAAAAGGGAGGGTTCACACATTCATTCCACAGATGTGTATCAGGTGCCTGCTCTGTACCCAGCACCACACTAGGCTGAGGTTCAGCCATGAACAAGAAGGCATGCCCAGGTGAGCTCACACAGGGCAGGGGCAAGGTGGGCAGACTATAGGAGAAAAGATGAGATTTTAGACAATGAGAAATAAAGACAATAAAACAGAGTGTGGTGAGTGGGTGACACATGGGAATGATGGAGAGGGAAGACCTTTCTGCAGGAGGAGGGGCATTTGGCAGACCTAGGCAGAGGGCTGTCTGCCAGAAAGGGCTCCCAGAATCTCTGGAGTCAGCCCCTGTCTGCAAATACCCATCCGCTTCCTCCTTCCTCCTTCCCCAGGGTGTTGCTTTGTTTTTATTTGTTTTTTCAATTAATGTATTATATATTTTTTTTGAGACAGAGTCTCGCTCCATCACCCAGACTGGAGTGCAGTGGTGTGATTTCAGCTCACTGCAACCTCCGCCTCCCATATTCAAGCAATTCTCCTGCCTCAGCCTCCGGAATAGCACCCGGATGCCATGCCATGCTAATTTTTTGTATTTTTAGTAGAGACGTGGTTTAGCTATGTTGGCCAGGCTGGTCTCAAACTCCTGACCTCAAGTGATCTGCCCCCACCACGGCCTCCCAAAGTGCTAGGATTATAGGTGTGAGCCACCACACCCCTCCTCAAAGGTACTGGGTTAATGAGTAAACACTGAGCCGGTGCGGTACCTCATGCCTGTAATCCACAGCCTCTGCACCTGATGTCTTCAGTATCAGGAGCACTTTCCTGAATTCAGTGAACTGATACAACACTTACTTTGGATTTTTTTCCCTAACACAGGAGCTACAAAGAAGAAAAAATGGGTTCATGATTTCTCCCCAAACACACGATAATCCCTGTTGAGATATATATATATATTTTTTTTTTACTTTTTTAACTTTTTTTATTTTTTTTCCTGAGAATATTCCAAGTAATCTGTTGATACATTTTTTTATTTTTTTTATTTTTGTTTTTTTTTGTTTTTTTTTGTTTTTTTTTT